ATTTTAGAAACAGATTATGATTGATTAACGTGTTTACTAGGTTTTCATCTAGGCAATTTTGAATATTCCAATTATTGTTAGTGTAATAATGCGTAATAAAATAAATAATATAAATACAAAAATGTCATATTTTTATTCATGGATATCATAGATGAAAAAGTAGATATTCAAAATCACCTTGATGGAAACTTTACTAAACTTGGTAATCAATGAAAATCAGTTTAAAAAATTGAAATCCATCAAACCAAATTTATTCAGTTTTTTTCTGACTTTTTGGTATAAAAACCACATTTTTTCATCAATTGCAGCCCTCTGCAGTCTCTTTTAGATTTATTTTATGATGAGGAATTTAAATACGTATATTTAAAAATATTAAAATACACAAAATGTATGTTTAGATTGGTTAAATTTACCTACATTAGTTTTGACTTTTGACGAAACCGACTGGAGCCTCCTTAGTTAAAAATTCTAAATTAAATTTGTTGGTATAAATAAATAATTTTATGTTGTGGTGCCATCTAGAGGATATGGAGTTACGATTAAATTGACTACAAATTGAGAAAAAATTGACTTTTAAAGGTATGCCTAAAATAGTAAAATACATAACTCAATTATTACCAAAATGTGACTTACACCACTATGGATGACATTTATATATTTAACGGCCACCATTGATTAATAAAAAGTTATTTTTAAAACCAAACTTTTAATCTTATGCAATATGTCAATATGTTTATTGTTTATACTTTATATATATTATAATTGGTGGTTAATATTATTTTATTCAATTATTGACTATTGTCGTACCACCGCGGGTGGTGACTTGTGAGTTCTACCACAGTCAACAATAAACTATGTGTGCACTATTAAATTCTAAAACAAAAAAATTGTAGTAGTAATAATCTTTGTGATTATGTTTAATGTTTAGGTACCTATAAAAATATAATATGTTTTTTATAGGTTCTGAGCGGAGAGATGAATGTATTGATTTTACAATTTTGTGTTCGCGTTTTTGTATTTTATATCACATTTGGAACAGTAAAAATGCACCAAACTTCCACTTCAAATACTTTGTCAATTACTTTGTTTTTTTTTAAATTTTTTTTTTTGGTGGGGAAGGCTCAAAAGTAAAATTCCCAGTACGTTCACAGTGTTATTATAGTTAAAAATATATAAATTACTCAATTATAGCTTTGGCTTTAGGATATCTATATATTTTAATACAAGCTGCTTCTTAATAGTAGTTCTTATTGCTACCTAAATCTCTACAAATATGTTAACAACATTTTTTTTTATAGATATTTGAAGTTAAAATATTGACAAAATTGAATATTTAAACAAAGAACAAGGATTTTAGTAATTTAGTTTTGGTTCATAAATAGTATTAGTGGAGACTTTAGACCTTTACGTATTGTTCTTTCATATTCAACCATACTTATATGTAATGACATTTTCAAAATATTTAAATTCATTTTCACTTTTATGTTACCTAGCTATTACTTATTTACACCCTAGAACACCTATCGTATATATAATATAAACAACTTTAACAGCAATATTATAATTAATTTTGTGTGATAAAATATACTAAAAAGATAGATTATCTCCGTACAGAATCATTTTCCGTAATGTAACTTAATAATATTACAGTGACCTATCTAATTATAATTTAAACACGACACCTTTAGTACAGTATAATAGAGCGGTTACATACTTGAACTCTTTTTTTCCTTATTGGCGTTTAAAGTATCCCGAAGCAATTTATACTTTGGTGCAGTTTTTGGAACATACTAATATATTATTATAGTCTTGCAAATTAGGCGTATCATCAGTTTGGATTTGTCGTTGATCTATTTATGATATTTGTTTAGGATACAAGTTGTAATTATCAAGACCGTATCTTTCTGACATTTTGTTTACTCAGGAACTATAAAAAGTCGAACAACTTTATCTCGAAACCACGAAACCATAAGTAACCTCGATTGTTTGTTTTTTTTATTTACCGAGCTTGAAATTATACTTAAAAAAAGAAACTCAATAATAATATCCTCAATACGATTTTTCAGATACTTGCGTTTTATTCTCATACAATTGTACTGTGTATATTATTGAAGTTTAATCAGTAATCATGATTCAATTTTTTTTTTCAAAGTTTACGCAGCACATACAAATAATAAATATATGATAAATATCGATAGGCATACATTGCGATGGATGATGTTTTGTTGACTATTATAAATATTGTCACTTTGGCCAAGGTATTCGAGATTGCATATTTTGGTAACGTATTGTGTCATTGACATTGAATTAAGAATTTACTATTTAGACTATCGAGAGATTTAGACTATCGATTTTAGCCTTCAAAGCTTTATAATGTTATTTTATCGTTTTCGTCTCATGTTGATAGGATTTGTCTTATTGTGAAGATGTTGAATTGATGGGTACTTTAAATTGTCTAAAAATAACATGGTTTTTAATTTCTAATTTACAAGACTATACAAATTGAACATTTTATACATTTTTAACTATGCAATTATTTGCACATTTTAGTAATTTTCTGTAAATTTGAATTGTGCAAAGTGTGCATTTTATATATACCTATCTTAAATATTTTTGAATGTTTATAGTAAAAACTTTAATGGAACCTTGTACTCAATTTTTAAACCTTAAGTATGAAGGTTACAAATTTTATGCATTTTTTAACACAAAAAAGTTTTAAAATTGTTTATGTTTCAACAAATATATAAAAATTTTAACTTTAAATGATTGGAAGATATAATTTTGCAATGTCGATCCCAATCAAACTTTTAACAAATTCAAATATGTTTTCAAAATTCTTATAGCCTTTAGTAGATTAATTGGTACGTTAAAAAAAACACGTCTAAGATAGTATGTATGTTGGACTGAGACAGCTTACAATGTCCTAAAACACGTATACAAAATATTGTGACTCCGTATTTTCGGTTTGGTATATTAAAACATACAAGGATCCTTGTATTACATTTTCAAGGTTTTGACTTTTATTGACCTTTTTAGAAATAGAAACAAAATAAAAATTGGCCTGTAAGTTATCTAAAATAGTAAAATCTGTACTCTAAATAATATTAAATACACATATTATACCTACTACTGACTAAACATTCAATATTTGTTAGCTTTTCATAAGTAGGTACCTACATAATATTATATATATTATTTTTATTTGCATCTAAAAGTGACGTTGATATAGTTTTCTCTTTTTGTTCTTTTAACATAACATATTATAAAGAATTTGTGTATATATGCAAACAATTACGATATCAATTTACCATATGACATTTATAAATAGGGTAGATTTATTTTTGGAAAAGTTTTACTGTATCGCGTAATGAATTTTTCTAATAATTTTTTTTTATTAAATTTTGTTGACCATAGTGCGTGTATGTCGCATAATATTGGGGTGGTCGAATGTGACGAAAATTAAATTTACAATAGTAATCTCCATAGAAGCTTGCACGCAGATATTGGTTCTGAAATAAACCATTAACTAAAATAGATTATTGCTTCAATCGTGTAAAGAAATAATATACGAATACCTACTTAAATGCTATGTACGGTTTCAGGTTTGTATACATAATATAATAATACCTAAATAATTTAGTCGTTATAGTATTTACAACTGGTCAAAAAGACCTCTAAAGATAATAATTATATTCCTAATATTATGATTTTAATAATTACTAGAATACCCGAGTAAAATTATTGATAAGTTTTTTCGTTACCTATTACCTAATTCAACTTAAATTTAAATCACTTTTAATCACTTAAATTATTTAAGTGATGCATTTTTTGTTAATGTGAGTTTATTATATCAATTTTTTTGGCTTTAAATAACAATCTAAACTATACGTATTATATATTATGCAGCATGCATCAATAATAAAGCTAATAAATACTACGTTATATTGAAACTTTTTCTATTACGAATAGTTGTACAAATGCTTGAGTGGATTAGCTCATTTTAATATGACCAAAATATGAATATTAATATGAATATATTTTTTTTAAAGAAATATTAGAATGATAAATGTAGAAATATTATACATTACACAGAGTTATCTATTCAAACAACTGCTTAAACTGCCCAATGACTATATTATTATACTAGATAAATTTATTGTTTCAATACAATTTGAGAAATATAATAAAATAGTAAATTTTGTACAAATAAATTAAATAATTTCTATTTTTTATCATACTCATATTTAAACAGTTTAGTACCTACCACGAAGACTCCCGGGTTTTGACGCCTTGCGGCTACAACCGCGGACCTCACATTAGCGCTGTGCGCTAGTCGAGAGCCGCGGAGGTTCACGGTCGACGTACGGTGGCCCAGTCCGCCGACCGCGCGTCGTCTACGGACCACGAGCACCGGAACCGAGGTCCCGTACCACGAAGACAGGCCAAGTGCCACCTGAATTCGCCTGGTCTGGCTGTGTGCTATCCTCACACCGAGTGTTTCTGGTTACACTCAACCTCCGATGATACTACACCGGTATAGCGGCTAGACGCCCGAGAGGAACCGACAACGAACCGGTGGCTCGCGCCCCCGGGTCGTGACGGCCGTTCATCAGAGGTTTTCGCCTGAGGTTTTAGTACCTACCAATAGTTATTTAAATTTCTTATTCTTGATCATAACAATACTTTATTCATATATTATATTATTATCTGTTATACAGCTGTAGTATCGTCAACATTATAATAATGTTTGTACGTCGATCGTGTTGTCTACGTGACGACGATTGTTTACTGCCATCGATCAAACAACCAAGTACGGTCGGAGTGTATAAATATATTATGCATTTACGATTTTCTATGTACGGGTATGTCTTGGCATAGTTCAGTCCGATAATGTTCTTGCGACCGGAAACAAAACAACTCTTGGAGTCCTAGCGTATTGTTCGCTGAATCAATCTAGCTTTTCCGGTCATTTCCAGTCATTTTCCAGTCCGTTCCAGAGAATGGAAGCGTTCAGAGACGCTGTGCGTAGGGTCATGAGCAGGTCGTCTGACGATCAACAGATGGACTGCGTGCTCATGGCGTCCGTCCAGAAGCAGCTGACCGAAGTCGCGGACGCCGTAGCCTCGGTCTGGCCACTGGCTGAACTGTCAGACCCAGAGAGACGCGAGTGCGCTAAGACTTCGGCCGTAAGACGATTTCCGGCGAGAAGCATCGTCTACGGTAAGAACTATGCGCTTATAGTCTTTCACGAGCCGGATGTCCAGGTTATCTACTTACATTTTGCACATCTTACAATTTTGACAGAATTTATCATATTTAAAATTGAATAATTATTTTGTAGTTAAAAACTTATAAAATATTCAACTTTTATATCTAAGGATTGAAAATTTAAAACAAGATTCCACGTAAGTAATTAATTCTGTTACCAAAAAGTCTAAAAAATACAGAAGCACAGTTTATTTTTATAGTCATTTTAAGTTCAAATTTGGACGAAATTACATAATAAAAAACCTAGAATAACTTTTTTAGTTATTTTGTTGTGATTGTATAATATTATTCGTGGGTACTTTAAACTTCTAAAGTACACTATTATATATCTATGATAGTATCAAGGTTTGTTGTTGATTTATAACTCGTTATAAGTACCTAATGGATATTGTGATATGATTAATTTGGAATTTATTATAGGTACCTATGGTCAATTTTTTTTAATACCATAGATAAGTATATAATATGTCTTATACCTAGACTGACATACCGTCTCCGCTCAGAATCGTTTTTCTTATACAATGATATTATATCATTGAATTCAAATTTAATACTATCCATTATACAGTGACCCGCTTGTAACCTACTGTACAGCAGAGCACCTTTTTTGTATTCATTGTACTTTTATTATCTAATACATTTCAAATTACATCTCTATCACACATTATGAAAATCAAAAAAACACATATCAGTCTCTTAGTGCAATTGAATGTACGATATTTTTAAATGCCTCCGACAAAAAACTAAAGGTCAATTTTATTATGTCCCCCATTTCGACAGTCAGAAATAGAAAATCACCTAAACTCCCTCATCCAAAACCTCTCTTCCCTAACAATCCTAGGTGATCCTGACCGGCGTTTAAAGCAAAACTGGTCCCGTCACATGGTAGTCAACTAACTACTGCCACCCACGTCATAAAGTCATTTACTGAATAGTTCATTCAAGAAAGTCAATCAACCCTCTTATATTATTATCAATCCATCTATTGAACTCTTTGTAAAAATATTTTATACCGTTTAAAAATTTTTCAAATTAAAAATATTATACGACAAAAAAAAAACCACAAGAGCGAACAATATTATTAACATTATCCTGTATAAAATCTGCCAACGGTTTCGTTGTTCTTGGTGTTGTTGAGGAGGTGTTTTAATTTCTTATCGATTTATTTTCAATATTGAAAATGTGGTTTGATAAGATAAATTCGGAAAAAAAAATCACGATGAAACTGACCGCAAAATAATAAATGTTTATGCGTGAACAAACTGCTAAAAAAACTCCATTAGACAGGATTAATGATTAATTATTACTATAAATCTTTAAATCATCTTATGATTAGGGTAACTATAATAGCTTAGCAAGGCGGGCATAACAGTTTAACACTAAACTTTTTCTATTAGCAACAATTATTTTTAAATCCAAGTTCAGATTCTCGATGGGAAATACATTTCTCAAACTTAAAATTGGGAATTAACTCAAATCATACGATACAATCTGAAAGTAAAATATTCTACGAATATCTGTTAAAAGTTGGGAACCGGAGGGAATCGATTTTCCATTCTCAAATCGTTAATAGCTATTATTGTACAGATGTTAAAATTAAAAATCTGTAGTAAAAGCGTTTAAAATAAAGCTTTTAAGTTCTAAATACATTTTGAAAAGCTTATAAAAATGTACTGACAAAACGGTTTTACCTCAATAATAATTATTTATCTAAATCTTCAGAACTGCATTGGACGACTAACACTTTATACTTTATATACTTTCAAATACAATTCTTTATCGAAAAATATATTATAATATATTTTATTTATATTTTGAAATACTATGACACAATATAGGTTAAAAACAACATAATCATCCGCGCTTATCATAAATTCGGTAAATTCGTGTTTGGTTGTTTCTTCATGGCTTTGTATAATATAAATTAACTGTTCAAATGACAAAAATTTTATAAACACAACAAAATAAAATCTTGAGTTTTTATTCAACGTTTTGAAATAATGTCCACAGCTATCAGCTAATAATGATTTGTTTCGAACGAGTAGAAAAAAGTAAATGTCTTCTACATAATAGTTATTATATAGGTACTAAAAGTGCAAAACAGAAACATTGATTATAATTTAAGTTAATTAAGTATCCGTATTATAGTATGTGGATTCTTTGTGAAATTTACCTTACATCAAGAAATATTGAACTAAATTCTTAATTTACGTATAAGATTGAATTTAGAGAATTTCTAAGAGTTATTCAAATAAAAGTCGAGTATTGAAATCGTTTCTCACACTTAACATTTTACAGTCATTATGAAATTATTATTTTTACAATAATATACTGTGGATTTGTTCTATTATTGTTTCTGGTTTGTTTTTTGATGGAAAAAAAGCTCTGATCGTCCACTCTGAGAGAGATTTCTGGTAGCTAATTAGATCTAGTTGGTACTTTTTGGAGGTCAACATTTAACAGACACTTTTTCTGACACACGAGTTTTATTCTTGAATAGGTATATTTAGGTAGGTAATAGTTATATTGTGAAAATCATTCAAGCGTAATCACGATTAAAATACATTCAAAATAAGTTTACCCTAGAACATAAAAAAAATAAAAAAATGTATTAAGTGATATAATAATATAATAGGTATGTTGATAACTGAAATAATTGTCTTCAATTTCTCATGTTATTTAATCAATTAAAACAATTCGTCCCTTTGACCAAGGTATTAAGAGGTAAAATTTGGTAAAATTTAGGAACGTTGTGTCATTGTTTGAATATAGAATATACCGAGAAAAATACCGTCAAAGCTTTATAATGTTATTTTGTCATTCACGTCTGAAGTTGATAGGATTTATAGTAAGTCTCGTTAGCGCTGGTTATGTGAGTACTTTGAATTTTCTGAAAATAACACGATTTCGACTTTCCAATTTACAAGACGTATTTGGATGTACATTATTCCAACCATACGGAAATTACTATTTTAAAATTTAATACGTCCTCAGTTGTCGGGAACATATACATAATACATATAGTATGTTACTATATTATACATTATACATTTAGTATGTTACTATACATTGAATAATATATAGTTATTAAAATAAAGACTAGCATGACAATACAATAATTGGATATATTTTTGCATATAATACTGTTTGTAGTGGTTTATCACCACACAAAATATTATAATATTATATAATATTATAGTGATGCACCTAAACATGTTATACAATACAAAATGAATCAATAATAGATTTGGCGAATCATGAAATATTAAAATTTTTTATTTTCTATGTTTATTTGTTCCTATTATTCAAATAAATTATAATTTTTATTGGATATTTTTTTAAATGAAAATTTTTGAAAATACTGATATTTTAATTCTAAAATTTACTTTAAGCTTCTAAATGCTGTTGTAGTGTGGACGATTATATAAACAATTTCTTTTAATTAACCCTCGGAAACATAGGCCACTGGGTGGTTTTTAAACTATGGGGAGGATACTGTTAACACGTGTGTTTAGTTTTGGCAGAATTTCGAATTGGGAATCCATAGGTTTCTGCAATGTCCGGTTGGGCGGCGTCTCTCTCTAGACAGTTGCCTTCCCAGAGAGAGGGGCCGCCCGTGGTCGAGATTCGAACCGGCGCCATAGTCCGTTCGGCCACTCCGTCCCCCATAAAAGATTATGGAAATAGATTTATATCACCATTCACATTGTTTAAATGTATATTATTGTAAAATATACTATACCTATATAATTATTATCAAAGGTGGGAAAGTGGGTACCTACATATCTACTCTACAGCAATATGTGTCTAGAGGGGTCAATGTAATGGATGTGTTAAATTTGAATTTAATGATATAAGATCATTGTATACGAAAAACGGTTTTAAGTGAAGACTGTCTGTAAGCCTATATTACTCAGTACATTTTAGTATGATATTATTGCTATTATGAGGACTTGAGTTATAAGTACTTTTAAATGTACAAATAATTTACAATCTTAAAATACTCATAGCTCGCTTTAAAATTAAAATATAATCAAAAACCCACGAGGTTGTCTAGATAATAATCTTACCTTTAGATTTTATAAGAGATCAATTCACTCCAATTTTTAAGCTAACGGAGCTACACTTTTTCTGCTTTGCGTATCATTTACTATGTTACGCACTTGTAAGACGGAGACAACACATGTGGGTATCATGTATTGTCCCCTTAAAGTAATTATTTTACTTTAAGAGGACGCCACACCCGCATGTGTTGTCTCCGTCTTACAAATGTACAACATAGCAAAAACTCTTTTGCGAGGGACAACTTTTCTCGCACCATATTTGTTGTAGAACTACCAAATTTTCACAGCACTTAAAGAAGAACTTTATCTGTGCAACAGCGTGCTCTTTTTTTCAATAACATATATACAATACAAGTTATTTGCTTCTAAACATTTGGTTTTTTAATTTGCTTATAAAAAATGATTGGATGGTGCTATTGAAAAAAAGAGCACGTTGTTGCACAGATAAAGTTCTTCTTTAAGTGCTGTGAAAATTTGGTAGTTCTACAACAAATATGGTGCGAGAAAAGTTGTCCCTCGCAAAAGAGTTTTTGCTATGTTGTACATTTGTAAGACGGAGACAACACATGCGGGTGTGGCGTCCTCTTAAGTTATACACAGTACTACAGTAGGTTGAATTCATTTTCGCCGAATTAAATTAATATAATCGTTATGTTATAATACCATGCAATGGGCATGTGGTGTGTGGTAATACTATAAAATATTATTATTATACTATCATTTGTCTGCCAGTCTCTCTCATTGACAGTGCTAATAATAATAAAACCATTACACATCTTGGCTGGGAATTTGTGTTTGATTGTTAATAGTAAATTTATGACTTATGATAATCATGACTTTTAGGTATTTTTTATTTTAATCTGACACATTGCAGACGACGCTATAGAT